GCTTTCATAACTGTTGATTCACATATCACAAGTGTGCACATACACATAGCTGGTAACCTAATGACCTGACTTAGAAGACATACGGTATGACATGACAAAAATCCAGAGTTTGTTTTTTCCTCCAATACAAAGTTTGACCCTCTGAAATTCTGAATGTAAGAGTGTTGCGTCGCCAGTGTGCAAGTTGCCTAAATAAAGTTTACCTTCATCTACCCATTTTGACCTTTTATAGATGACAAACAGACAAATGACAAATCCTAGTGATAACAACGAAAATCAGAAAACAAATTTAAAAAGGATTGATACATAGATAGATGGAAAATATAAGTCAGATCACTATGCTGTTACGTAACGACATGTCGTCAGGGCGTAACCCATCGACCTGACAAAGGAATAGTTAGATATAAGAAAATGTTAAATGTAAAAGCAGGGTGGGCAGATCAGGGTAAATAAATTAGGGGAAAAAACTGAAAACAAAAACGTGTGTGATCTAAAAAGTAAGTTTCCCCTTTTAAAAATGTAAAAAGTAGAAAGTACATATACTTGTGTTTCAAAGTAGTGAGTAACAGTAAATATTCACCAGAAAGATAAATAGATTTTTTTAGGTATCTTTACTTCAGTACTGGAACTGAGTAAAAGTACTCGGTATGTGACACCTCTACTGGCTGTGCACAGCCTGGCCATCTCATTTACAGAACAATGGTGTCGTTCACACCTGAGTTAAGATGCTAGCTCAAAACTAATCCAGCCACTTGGCTGCTCTTTGGGCATGGAAGGTAGGAAAGCCAAATGGCTGGGCTTTGGGACTTCTAGTTTTAAGCACTATGAGATGACTTGTTGTTGTAAATATGCGCTATACAAATAAAACTGAATTGAATTGAATTGAACTCTTATTAGTGCTGCAACTGTTTAATAAAATCTGGGAGGAAGGAAGAATGCCAGCAGCTTGGAAGAAATCTATAATAATCCCAATCATTAAACCTGGAAAAGACCCATCAGACCCTTCAAGCTGTAGACCGATAGCTGTCACTTCACAATCAGGGAAAGCAATGGAGCGGATGATTACAGACTGACTAAACTATTTTCTTGAAAGCAAAGACCTTTTTTCACCTTTTCAAAGTGGATTTGGGAAAAGAAGGAATACTATGGACTGGATTTTAAACCTAGAGTCAGAAATAAGGAAAGCTCAAACAAACAAGGAAATGGTAGTCGCTGTCTCTGTTGACACTGAGAAAGCGTCTGACATGCTGTGGAAGGAAGGGCTCCTCATCAAGTGGCAGGCTGTAGAACTGGGTGTTAGACTTTTTATTTGGTTGAACAATACAAGTAAAGGTAGGTAAAGAACATTCATCAGAATATTATGGAGAGAATGGAACCCCTCAGGGCAGTGTTTGCAGTCCAGTGCTGTTCAATATCATGATTAATGATATATTTGACAATGTACATAAAAGCAATGGAAAGTCGCTGTATGCGGATGATGGGGCGTTATGGATGAGGGGGCGCAATCTGATGTACATACAAAAGAGAGCTCATGCTGATATTATGTCTGTAGAGCAGTATGCAAATAAATCGGGTTTTAAAATATCAATTGCTAAAACACAAGTGGTATGTTTTGCAAGACGACATAAAACCATATCATTAAAATTCTATGGCCAAACGCTTGAGCAAGTCAGGAATATTAGAGTTCTTGCAATGGTTTTTGATGAAAAATGAACGTGGTGGCAACACACAGATAAGGTCAGGAATAAGTGTAGAAAAGTTAACCTCCTGAGATGTGGAGCAGGGGAGCATCAAGAGCACCACTAATAAACATATATCAGGCTCGTATGAGGGCCACATTAGATTATGGAAGTATTGTCTACATGTCTGCAGCTGAAGGTCACCTGACAAAATAAATATGGAGCAAGCACAGGGACTTAGACCTTGCAGTGGAACATTCAAGACATCTGCAGTAGCTGCCTTGCAAGTTGAATTAGGTGAGATGCCACTCCGTATAAGGAGAATTCAATTAATGATGGCATACTGGGTTCATTGGCAGGGGCATAGAAGTTCTCACTGTACTAAGGCCATCCTACAGGAATGCTGGGAACATGATAAAAACTAATTGTAACAGTTTTGGCTGGATAGGAAATATGAAAGCAGAAATTCTACAATTAAATCAGATAGAATCCAGTCCCACGATCCCTACTCACCTGTTCCTCCATGGTTGTTCAAAATCCCAGTTATAGATCTAAATATCCTGCAACAACTCACAGGAAAAGCTCCATCAAGCACAATAGTACACAATGATGTCCAGCAGCACTATAGGAATAAATGAATCATCTTCACAGATGGCTCCAAACAACCAGAAATGGTGTTACTGGTGCAGCAGTGTTTATCCCTCAACAGGACGTTGCTTTGAAGAAACGAACAACAGACTGTCTCTCTGTCTATACAGCAGAATGAACAGCAATCACTATGGCATTGCAGTGGCTGGAAAATAACTGCACTGAAGATACAGCGATAGCCTCACACAGTTGGGCAGCCCTCACCCGTATCCAGTCATCAAAGTCATGTCGACTAGATCTAGTGCATGACATCCTTCTGCTGCTCTACAACTTACAGAGTGAGGGAAGGACTGCTGCTTCCTTTGGCTTCCTGCCCATGTTGGTGTGGAACGGAGTGAAAGAGTGGACAAACTGGCTAAACTTCACTCAGAAATCAAACAGTAGACACAAAAATAGCATTACACAAACATAAACACATCTGCGGAAAAGCTGGCAAGAATACTGGAGTTTAAATGATCCAGGAAGACACTTCTACAGCATCCAGAAACAGGTTGGTCAGGGCAGAAGGCTGATAGGCAGGAAGCAGAGGGCAGAGGCAGCCATCGCCGTCTGAGAATGGGACTGACCAGGTCACATGACACACTCCAAATACTGAGCCAACATCGGCACTGAGACAACAGAGAACCAGTTCAGCATGTGCTGCTGGAAGGTCAGCAATATGAAGATGAAGAAAAAACTCAAAGCAAAGCTGCAAAAAATCAAAGTAGAGCTGACAGTGCAGAACCTGCTTGGGGGAACAGGAAAAGGAATAATAAGAGAGCTAATTGACTTTCTTAAAAACACAGAGCATCAGGGTTTAGTTTAGTTTTTAAAAAATTATTTATGTTTTGTGTATTTATTGCCAATCTTGCGCCACACTCCAGTCCGGTAGGTGGCGGTAATGTACCTGGATGTTGGATGCCAACCGCCAAACCAATCAAAGGAAGAAGGAGGAGGAGGAGGCCGGTCGGGACCCGTCGTGTGTTGTCGTCTGATCCAGCTAGCGCATTAGCTGGCTGGTTCGTTCTAACTGAAGTCCAGTTTTTACACAGAGGACGGGGCAGGAGAATTACTGGCAATACCTGGTACGGCTTTTAAAACAGCAGTGCTGCTGTTGCTGTTGTTGTTGTGTCGTCGTCAGCAGTTTGTGAACATCGACGTTAATGCTAGCTAGCTATGCTAGGTTTGAAGGGAACTAAATATATGCGAGTTTATTTCTTTCGATGGCTTCATATCTTCCTTGGTATTAATGCAAGGCTAACGATGTGCTAACAAGCGAGGTGCCAGGACTTTTGTTGTATAACTGACATCCTTGCAGAGAAGCGACGGGAGATTAGCCTCCAGAGCAGCTTTGGCTAGCTGCTCTGTGTTGCTAGGCAACGGAAGTGGCCGCTGGGTGGCCGAGGTAAAGCCTGTAATTACATTAGTGGCGAAATCACGCCTCGTCCCTCGGAATGTGCATGGAAACCTACTGTAGCAGTTGTTAGCATGACTGTCTGCTTGTGTTGTTCCGTCTGTTGTGTGATCAGGGCTGCAGAACAAGCACCATGCTGGTCCCCATATTCACCCTGAAGCTGAATCACAAGATCAACCCTCGCATGGTGACGATCGGGAAGTTTGATGGAGTTCACCCATGCCTTACTGCAGCCACACAGGCTGGAAAGGTGAGTTAATAACTGTTTCGCTGTTCCATCATAGCTTTGGTGAATTCTTAATGAACAAGCTGTAGCTAGCAGCGTTGGTTCCATGTGATGCACACCCACCAGGTACTTAACCACAGATCTCAGGCTTGCTTTGTAACCTTCTGATGTGAGAGTGGTTTCATTTACACGCTCATTCTAAACTCCATCTCACTCTGCACTACTTCCCAACTCTCTTTGTCATTACCAGGTTTTTATCCACAACCCTCACGCCCGTGGCCAGAGACCTGTGGCTCACCGGCTGAGCCAGAGCGCCCAGGACTCGGACATCTCTCTGCTCAACATCAACCAGGCGGTCATGTGTTTGACAGCGGGAACGCTGGGACCAAATAGCACTGGGGACACACTGTTAGTGGGATCCCAGACCAACCTGCTGGCCTATGATGTCCATGACAATGCTGACATCTTCTACAGAGAGGTGAGTGGAGCTCAGAAGAACAGGAGCCAACTGTGGGTGCTGTGATTTGTCCCATCAACACTGTTCCCTGAAAACTATATATAGTAGATGATTTAGACTTAAAAGTGGAAAATGTTAGTTTGGTCACTTTTCTGTTAGTTCTCTATGTGTACATTGTCCTTTGGTCAGATGATAATACAACACAGAATGTAAGATATGTTGTTGTGGTTGACACTGAACACTGATCCTGGAGCTGAGACTTTGTGCTGTATACTTAAAATGTAGAAATGAAAAGTGATTTAAAGGAACAGATGCTTTGCATGGAGAACTGGCCTTGCCTGGCTTTAGACACCTTGTTTCTGCTGTGTGTGGGTGCAGGTGACGGATGGAGCCAATGCTATTGTGTTGGGAAAACTTGGGGACATCCCTTCGCCTCTTGCCATCATTGGAGGGAATTGTGCCTTGCAAGGCTTCGACTATGCAGGCAACGACCACTTCTGGACAGTAAGACAGTTTCAGCTTAGCTTACACTTCAGTTTATGTACACAGGTGGTTCTTTAAGTGAGTACAGTTGCTGCAGGAAATAACAGGTCTCATCGAGCTAGTTTATATTTGGCACATTTTAACAAATGGTTTCTAATTTATTAGTTCTGGCATCTTCAAAGGATAAGTATGCTGCACTTAAAGTTAGGCTGTCTTTTAAGCCTAACCCTGTTCAGAATGGGTTTTCTTTTAATTCACATTTCTGTGGGATGTAATCATGAAGGATCTTTTTTTTTTTTTTAGGTAACTGGAGATAACGTCAGGTCTCTGGTGCTCTGTGACTTCACTGGAGATGGAAAAAATGAGGTGAGTCTTGGCTAGCTGGCAGGCTGACACATGTGCTGGGTGTCTTCCATCACCGTAGTCCAACTCCAGGTGGACAGCTGGCATCTGTCTTCCTCCTATCTCATGCATATTTCCTATAGGTCTCTACTTTGTCTTACTATATGTAACATGTAGGCTACTCAGTTAATCGTGTAAAGTGAATAAAACCACGCTATTGTAATGTCAGGGCTAGTATCAGCTCTGGGAGAGGAGAAGAAACACTAGAACACACGGTTTATGCCAATTGGTACCATATATTTGTGAATGAAAAACCCATAGACATAACACAGAAAAAATGGCCATTCAGTATATATACACACATGATTTCATAATCATTTCAGTCTTCATCAATCAAGGCTTTGCAAAAGTGCAACCAGTTAAGTTTCAACCCTTCAATAATTAAAACGCAACTTCAAGCCCCAAGTCCTGCGTGACAGAAGGAATCCAAGGGGAAACGGTCCAAGTCTATTGGAAGGGGAATGGATGAGTGAGTGAATAGGGCTGGAAACTTCACATTGCAGAGGGCAGAACAATGGAAGAGCGGCTGCTTTAAGGAGCCTCCTACCAGACCAAGGGAAGGAGGTGCAGCTGCATTCAATCCAGGAACGTTCTTCAGGCTTTTAGCCTATAGGCTCCTAGCTCGCCATCGACCTGGCCGACATAAAGAATGGGACCAAATAAATTCTAGTGCGCACAACCAACACATACAACTATCTCAATGCTAAACACACTTAATTCAGCAATATAAATAGCAGTGTATTCCAATCTTCTGAATATAAGCAGTTCAAGTATGTATATATAGAGTTATATTGAAACATGAATCAAAGCTCAAACATCAGACATGACTCTGCATCCATGAGTAAAGTGCAGGGCGGCCAGTGAGTAACTGGACTGCATAAAGTGCATTTGGATGCGTAGCACCGATGAACATTCAAAATGTAAACTCTGCATTGCACTACTTACATTTAACAATCACCAAACCAGTCAATACATCAATAAATAATGTCCCAGTGATAGCGCTATATACAGTCAAATATATTCTAGAAACGGGCACGGAGATCAACCATGCTAACCACTCCATTAAAATGAATGCAGCGGCTAACCCATTGAAATGAATTGGGTGAAGCTAATGCTAATGCGACTTACCAAGTCCGTCGTTGAAAATCTCAGTCGAGCTTCATTCAGCTTCGCAATGGTTCTGGTAGTCGGCTCCTACAGTTTAACAGTGTTATGAGTTTAGTTTAAGGCGTTTAGGGAATAAATTCTGCGCAAACCATAGACATACCTGCAGCACTGTCTCCTCATACGTGCCCTGCTCGCAGCTGCCGGCAACAAGCCACTTCCGGCTTTATGCCGACCAGATTGGCCGCACTTAGTCACGTGGCGCGACTAATCACACGACACACGCAAGGACAGCTTGAGCATGACGTGCGTTTTATCACCCGGGTTACATATAGCTTAACCTTAGCTACGAATCATCGCCTTCAATATGGTAAACTGTTCATATTGTATTTCCAGCTCCTGGTCGGATCCGAGGACTTTGACATCAGGGTATTCAAAGAGGATGAACTTGTGTCGGAGATGACTGAAAATGAGGTAAAAGGATTCAATGTATTGCTCTGTTTTCGAATGTGTCGACTGTAGAAAACTAATTTACACTGACTATGTGTTTATTCCATTTCACAGAATGAACAGTAATGGAATAATAACTACTGTGATCGCTGCCCTGGTGGCAATGGCATGCTGTAGATGTTCTTGCCTGTCTTGTGCTCTGGGTGCTGAATAACACTCCTTCTTCTTCTGTTTCTTCTGTCCTTCTCCATACAGACAGTGACATCATTGTGCCATATGCATGGCAGCAGGTTTGGTTACGCCCTGGCTAATGGCACTGTTGGCGTCTATGACCGCACCGCCCGCTACTGGAGGATCAAGGTGGCATAACCATTCATCTTTATGTATTTTGTGGACACAGGTCTAGTTTTCCACCCATGCAACATTTTCTGTATCAGAATTTTTTCTCCTGTTTGTTCTATGTCTGCGTCATTTCCTATCTTGATTAACTCCCCAACCTTCAAGGCTTTACCCATGACATGAATATAGATTCTGTTGTCTCCATGTAGTATTCTGCTATGTTTTGTTTTCTGCCCTCCTCAGTCTAAGAATCATGCAATGAGCATTCATGCCTTTGACTTGAATGCTGATGGGGTTGTGGAGCTTATTACTGGCTGGTCCAATGGAAAGGTCAGTGCACAGCTTAGCACACCTGCTTTCTACAACTCAGGAATGTGATATTACGTTAGCTTTTTGGGCACAGCAGTGACCTGGACTTCCTGCAGCTTCTCCAGCTTGCATCGATTCTGTGATCACGTTCTCATTTTCTTCCAGATCGATGCTCGAAGTGACCGCACAGGTGAGGTAATTTTTAAAGACAACTTCTCCTCGTCTGTGGCTGGAGTGGTGGAGGGAGACTACCGACTGGATGGACAGAAGCAGCTCATCTGCACCTCCACAGAGGGAGAGGGTAGGTTGTAGGGCTCTGTCTGTGTGTGGGAGAAGCATCACGTTCATTCTGGGATTACAGTGATGATACATTTGTGTGTGTTATTTTGAAGAATTGCCCTTTGACCTTAGAATAGGTTGTTCTCACTGTCCATGTGTGTGTCTTGTAGTTCGTGGTTACCTGCCAGCCAGCAAAGACCTGAAAGGGAACCTCATGGACTCCAGTGCTGAACAGGATCTGGTTCGAGAGCTCAGCCAACGCAGACAGAATTTGCTGCTTGAGCTACGCAACTATGAGGAGAATGCCAAGGTGCACAGATGTATTCATTCAGGAGTCATTCATTAGCTGAATGTGGTGTTGGTTCCCTCTTTGTTCATCACAGCATATTGTGTTATGTGTGCATCCTGAAAATTGTTGTAAATAATGCTGGTCCCAGGCAGATGACTCTTCCTAACCTTTAGCTTTGATTTCAGGGTGTCTCAGAATACACAGGAAGCTTCAGAGGAAGCCTCCAGTTATTTTGTCCCTCCCTGGTTCTGCTGGTTCTAGTAAACCATTTTCTGCACTTACGAACATGCGGTATTGCTTGTGTTTTATGATCTAGTCAACAATAATATTATCCAGAGCTCTTTAATGTCCTTCCTTTTTATTCTTATGTGAGACAAACTATATGGCCTCACATTGATATTCAATGTTTTTCTCTTTTTCTTTTATATACCACCTGAGTTTAACAACGCTGATTATGTACTCTTCTATTATTGTTTTTTTCTAACTGCTGGTTTTATTCATGTCATTTGTTCAAATCCCTTTTTGTTTGACAGATCACAGCTTGCATGTACTGTAGATAAGTGCAGGATTCATCAACGTCACTGACCTGCAGGGTTAGGGTTACTGCATGCCGGCATCCAAACAAGCTGTCATATTGGTTTCAGGGTGTGTCAGAGACCAACAGTGGGATGGGTGTCATCCCAGCCAACACTCAGCTCCAGACGGCGCTGTCAGTGAAGCCTGCTACGGAGACCCAGAAGGCTCATGTGGAGCTCAGCATTTCAACACCAAACGGTACAGTTGTTTAGGACCGGACCTGACAGGTTCAAGCACGCCAAGCAATAGATAAGTTAAGTTCCGACTGAGTGCCCGCTAGTAAGTGCTTGAATGTCTTCTCTGTCCTCTTCCAGAAACCATTATCCGTGCAGTGCTCATCTTTGCCGAGGGAATATTTGAGGGTGAGAGTCACGTTGTCCACCCCAGTGCCCAGAACCTGTCAGGCTGTGTCCGAGTCCCCATCGTTCCCCCAAAAGATATCCCAGTGGATCTGCACATAAAAGCCTTTGTTGGAGGGAAAACTAGGTAGGATGTGTGTACTTGGCAGCTTGCTTTGTCAGCGTCACAGTAATCGCTTTTGTTCACCCTGTGGACTAATAACTCCAGTTATCAGTTTGTGTGTTTACAGTAACCTCTGCTTCCTCTACTGCTCCACTCTCTCGCTCCAGCACCCAGTTCCACGTGTTTGAAATCACTCGTCAGCTGCCTCGTTTCTCCATGTACGACGTCACAGTCGACTCTTCAGCTGCTCTGCCCACCGGAAGGGTCACTTTTAGCATCAACGATCGACCGCAGAGGGTAGGCTGCTTCTCTGGGAGAAAGAACAGATCAAGTCACTCTGATGAGTTCCACGAGACATAACATGCTACAAGTGTCTATTTGCATCTTTTATCTGGTTCTGTAAGCCTTCATGTTTCTGTGCTTGTGTGTGCCTAGGTGGTAATGTGGCTGAACCAGAACTTCCTGCTTCCAGAAGGAGTCGAGAGTCCTGATGTCACCTTTAATTCACTAAGGGGAGGGGGTCTCCTGTCCTTCAGCATGGCCAGCAATGGACAGGTACCCTCAGATACAACAGCTGTGTTGATTTTAATCCTAATTTAACACTACTGGCTGTTTATTGTTGCATACTAGCCTTTTCAACACTTTTAAAGAGCAAGCTTTCACTTTCATTGAACAGAAGAATCCATATACACAGAATCACTGTGACTGACAAGCTTTGGGAAATCAGATGAACTCTAGTTGTTTATGTTCACATTGATATCCACAATGTCATCAAGTCATTTAAATTCCCACACGCCACTCTGCTTTGACTAGAAACCAGTTCACATGAGCGTAATGACTCGTGTTTTTAGTGCTGCGTAGAAATGGCAGACTTGTACCGTGCACAGCGCTAACCCATCTGCTATCAAAGCACTTTGAGTTGCTCCTGATTACTTTACATGTGTGAGCACAAAGCTACAATAGCCCAGGGCTGTTCAATCCACAAAAATGACTTCAATAATGAATTCCCAATCCGTCCAATCAGATCACCCTGAGAACAGACGACATTGACCTAGCGGGAGATCTTGTCCAATCGTTGGCCGTCTTCCTGGCAATAGAGGACCTGTCGGCAGAAGCAGACTTCCCCACATACTTCGAGGAGCTGCGCACTACACTTACCGAGGTTTGGCTGAAGTCTGTTCTCATAATCAAACATTTTATGTTGCAAAGTCCACTGACAGTCCAAGATTGTCAGGAGTGCAGCAGCATTTGTCATGGCTCATTCTTTATATGACAGAAGTAAGAGCATCGTCCATCTAGTCTCCGTTTTGTGTGAAGGATGGGCTGAATGAGGTTCTTTACTAAGAAAACAAAGCAACAGTTCAATGGTAGGATAGTCCTGCAATGTCAAGTTCGTTTTGCTCCATCACTCACGCTTGAATCAGACTTGCATACCTACGAGACATTGCTACCCAGAGCTGTATTCATGGTGAGGGCTTCCATCCCAGACCACCGTACAGACAATACAAGAGTTACTGACAAAAAGGAAATGATAGAAATCTTTCTGATAACTTATCATGTTATACAGTAACATGCGTTTTCTCCCCATTGCGAGCCAACTGCTCTAACTGTGTTAGGGTTAAGGTCAGGGTTAGGGTTAGTCGAGTCAGGATTAGGGTTAGTAGTGTTAGGGTTAGTCGGGTTAGGGTTAGTCGGGTTAGGGTTAGTCGGGTTAGGGTTAGTAGTGTTAGGGTTGGTCGGGTTAGGGTTGGTAGGGTTAGGGTTAGTAGTGTTAGGGTTGGTCGGGTCAGGGTTGGTAGGGTTAGGGTTGGTCGGGTCAGGGTTGGTCGGGTCAGGGTTGGTAGGGTTAGGGTTAGTAGTGTTAGGGTTAGTAGTGTTAGGGTTAGGGTTAGTAGGGTTAGGGTTAGGGTCTGCTCTGCTCTGACGTCCACCAGAAACATGTTGTTGATCTGTGTATTAACACTGTGTCCTTTATCTCCGTGTCTCAGGTGGACGAGTTCCACTCCGTCCATCAGAAGTTAACGGCAGCGATGGCCGATCACTCCAACTACATCAGAAACATGCTGGTGCAGGCAGAGGATGCTCGCCTTATGGGTGACCTGTGAGGAATCCTCCATAATACTTGTACCCGTATGGACATGTCCATGTCATCATACAAAAAGCACACGTGTAGCTAGTAGTGTTTATTGTGGCTGCACTCCATGTGCATTAGCCACTTCCACTGGTGCATGCAGTTAAAGGCACGGCTTCCAGTAACACTCTGCCGTTTTTCATGTTATGAGTCCCCACTCTGCTTTTCCTACTGCCACACCGGTGCTGTGAAAATGCCCGCTATGTTGCTAAAGCTACTGATTTCATAATTCAAGCAGTGTTTGTATCAGCAGTGTTACATATTTAATCTTAATTTGGGTCTGACCTTTCTGTTGTTCTCTGTAGGACAACTATGAAGAAGCGCTACAGAGAGCTGTACGATCTCAACAGGGATCTTATCAACGAATACAAGATCCGATCTAACAACCACAATGCCCTTCTGGCCTGTCTCAAGTCTGTGAACCAGGCCATACAGCGAGCTGGCAGACTCCGAGGTGAGCCGCTGTGTGTTTGTGTGATGTACTGAACAAACAGCACTGCTGTACGTCAGTAGGTGGCTTCGTTGTTTTACAGGAAGCAGCACAATGAATGCAGATCTCATGTTTTGATGTTTAATTCCTTCAGAGAAAAGCCTTAATATATCTAATTAGACTTCAGTCCATGTTAGATTCAGTTCAATGTTTTAGTGTTCTGAAGTGAGGCTGGAATCACAGCCGACCCTCCTGATTGGAAATCCCCGCTTTCAGTTTCTCCTGTAGCTTTTTTGTAAACCTATAATGATAGTATAACAGTAAAGTTTCACAGAAGAGAACTCATGACCACGTGTTGTCATCTTGTGCAGATTTGGCTCAGAATGGTAGCAGGCACACATTTAGCACTTCAGATTCAAAGTCCTTGTGTGTGTACAAACAATGAAGCTGATTCAGATGAAAGAACAAACTGCTGAGAAGCTGTTACATGCTGATAACAGTGTGTCAGGATATTACAGTATAGAGGGAGACCTTGGGAAAAAGATTTCAGATCATCGATTTCAGAGACAAATAGCAATGAAAGTGATTTAGGAAGCTTTTATGTGTTTAAGCTCACACACCTGCCAATCTCTTGATATTCAACCATCCGGCTGCGTGTTTCTCAACCTTCTCTTCAGTGGGTAAACCCAAGAACCAAGTCATCTCTGCCTGTCGCGACGCCATCAAGAGCAACAACGTCAACGCACTCTTCAGGATCATGAGGGCCGGCACCGCATCCTCCTGAGGCGTGAAGGAGGAGGGATGTACTGAAGAGCCAGAGACACGTTCACAGGCCCACCACATGAGGAACAGCGTGAAGTTTAGCGGCCAGGACGGTCCACCAGGACGACGAGCCTGATACATGAAAGACACTGGGACTGTGACAAAGGGGACACTGTTGCAGCCTTAATCCAAGTTTTCCATGACTTAGCAACAGCCTGGCAGCAACGTTGGCACCAGCTTCTTGAAACTTGAAATTGTGCTAGCTCACAGAAAACTAAAATGCTGACCACAGACTTAGTGCAGTTTTGAAGTAGTCATCCATCTCCGTGTAGCAGTGCGGCTGTGTGGAAGGGCTTGATTTAGCAGTAAATGATGTCACAATGAACGTAGGTGTCTGCGGGCGGTACAGACAGATCTGCTTAGTGGGTTCAGCAGGACCAAAACACACGAAACTCACATGCAGTCTTCTGCCTGATAGCTCCACTAGTGAAGACACAAAGGAAGAGTAGAGCCTGTGAAGGTACCAGAGGTGTCGCAAGTGATGCTGCACATTCATCTAAGAAGATGTTTAAACTACGGCGACGTCATCCAAAGCGTTCCCACGGAGACGTGAACGTGTGGAGAAAGTGACTATGTGCTGGACTGTTTAGTTGAGCTGGAAGTGATGTTTAGAGCGAGAACAGCTGCAGCGAGACGCTCACTGATTGTCCACCGATCGATCGCTGTCCAGTCTCTGCTCCCAGCTGCTGTGTGTCTGTGTGGTGTTTGTAGCCAAAGAAGACTATTTTAAATCACCTGATGTACCAGAGGACCCCTGCTGTGGGTTTGACTTGTTGACCTTGTAGACTGTATTCAGACTGTAAATGTCATTTACATGTGTTTGTGTCAGAAACTGTAATTAAATTAAGTTTTAAACATGCGTGACTGTTGAAGGACTTTGTTACAGCACCGTCAGGGGATGACTTCACTCTCAGACAAGTTGCTCAACTGTTTATCCAAAGTGCGTCTCTGGTTGGATCTGAATCGTGAAAGCTAAAATTAGTGCGTATAAATACAGTGAGGCCTGTCCTCTTTTTTAACAGACATTCTACACACTGGATTTCCTTCTCAGATGCTCTGAATGTCTCTGAAAGTGCAGATGTGAAGCACTAATAACGTGAGTCCACTGACTGCCAACAAGTCATGTAGGCGTCATGTGTTTCACAGACATTATGAAAGTGGTTTCCAGTGTTCACATCAGTTGATCAGGGTTCTCTTACTCTGCTCACAGCGGCTTTAGGGTTAGGGCAGCCTCTCTGTACCTGAACTCCATCAGCACCTTCAGGTTCGTGTTGGTAATGTTCCAGTGATCAGACTTGTTTTGGTGAAGCATCTGAAACCCTAACCCAACCACTGTGGCGATAAGAGTTGCAAGAGTTTGATTTTTATCACTTTCACTTGTTTTTGTTAGAGAGCAGCGCATCATAGTAAAACGTTTCTGCCTGTTTTAGTGTTTGGCTGCATCCTCTGCTGACTGATCCAACGGTAATAGCACCAAGTTAACAATAGCAGGATGAAGTGATGAGAAAAATGAGAGTTAAGTGGAATATATGTGAGTCCAGGCTTTGGACAAGCGTCCGTTGCATCGACTGCACTGCATTTAATGTTTTAAGGTGTGTTCATGCTTTATTTTGTCAGCATAGCTTCAGTGTGCCCTGAATCGGGCCTTCCCACCCTTTCCCCTGCGTAGCTCTGATTGCTCAGACACGTGTGGGCTGCCAGCTGTGCTCTATCTGTGCTACATATGGTTCTGGAAGGACACAGTGTGCCGCCATAAATTACTGTTACTGCTGCCCTCCTGTGTGTGCTGACGGTGCAGCCTCAGCTCGTCTTGTTTGCATCTCTTCACCCGACTGCTAGCTCTTGTAGAATAACAAAGCCGGGGATTGTTTTAGACAGTATCATCCCGACTGGGTGTTTTCAGCAGAGGGCTGCAGAAACACAGAGACTCTGAATGCTCAATAGTGAGGCATACGTTTTCCCTTTTCCATCTCATGCAGTCTTTCCTCTGCCCAGCTTCCTCTCTGCTCAAGTCTTCTCATCTTCATCTCATTCTTCTCTCTCCTGGTCTCCTCTCCCTGCAGTCTAGAAAAAAAACAGTCAATGTTCCCAATCAGATGCTGTTGGAGATCATCAGCTGGGATTAAAATGCCACCCATACCCGGAGGTGTGTCTCTGGGGGTCCAGTTGTTGGATTCCTCGTCCCTTTGGGGGAAACAACCAACACCGAGTCGTGACTCATGTTCTAACATCCCCTCCTCTTATTCAGTCTTTTCTTTCTTACTCCTCTTTGTTCCCTGATTTCGTGCGTTGGCATCTGACTGGGTCCAGTATAAATCACGTGGCCGGGCCAAAGGATGACAATGATGCATTCAAGGGTTTCTGCTTCTGACTCCAAACATACATTCATTTGAACTTTTACATATGCAGCAAAGTTGATTAGTTGAATCAGTTGCATGAGCAGCCTGGTGCCTCTGCTGCTTTAAATGTCTGTTTGACAAGCTGCTGCTTTTTCTGGTTATATGAACTTTAATTTTAACTTTGTTGTATTCAGTGTCAGAATTCCGTGACATTTGCTTAAATAATATAAAATCTGAATAATTTCCTTTGCTGATTTGTTTTCTTGGTACACAATATCAGCCATTACTTCACATTTTATTAACAACGACACTCAAAAAATCACAGAAGCTGCACAAATGAACGCTTGCATTTTCCCCAACTTGTATTTTCCTACAGCACCTGAAGGCACCATGAGCGCAGCAGCAGCTCGTACAGCCTCTGAGCTCCAGGTCAGACAGTTTGGGTTTTAACCATCCGCCCCTTTGCCTCAGACACATGAACATAGATCTGCCCTCCGCTCCGTCCTCACTTTCTCGCAGGATCTCTGTGTTTGGAGACTTTGGAGGCTCCGTTTTTCTCCATGCGTTGATTTGCAGAAGCAGCTTTTCTTTTCTTTTCCTGCAGCACAGATGTTTCCAGTTTGACCTCCTCCTCCTCCTCGGTCTGCCTCGTCTGGTAAGTTTGAATGACTTGCATTACTTGGAGAACATTGCTCACACTTTAGGACTATCAAAATAAGCAGAAATGTTGTCGGTGAGGTAAAAAGTGTGGGATGAGTTTGGCGAAATATGTCTTTTGTTTGCGAGAGAAGTTTTGGATCTGGGTCATGCAAGTCAGGAATTTGAACTGCAGAAAAGCTGTGATTACGTATGCTGGCAGTATGACTCCTCATCTGCTTTACTAGTCTTATATGATGTTTCTATGAAGTCATGTCTGCTCCATAAATGCCATAAATGCTGGGACACAGTGTTCTGTGTAGTAGTCAGCACCTTCACGTCCCCTTACATAAGACCAGACACTCCCCCTTCTGAAGGCAGTCGTGGGTTTGGGAATCAAGAAAAAGACACAAATTAGAATATCAGTGAGCGATATCACCTTGGGTCGCGTTTAACGTCTTGTACGGTTTGTTCTCAGAGTTAGGTGACATGAAGCTGCTCCCAGCAATGAGCTTCTCAAAGGATCAGAACCATGCATCCATGTGGAGTAAATAATTCCTGCAATAAAAGAGGTGAAAATGAGCTGTCTGGCTGCGTAAACTGGTGTCTACATGGCATCATGTCTGCTGTTATTACAACATATTGCTGAACTGCTTCAAGTCACCAAGAAAGATGTGATTGCATCAGTCATGATGGTTTAAAGTTTTACAGCCAGGCCGTAGATGGACAGCTTTTCTTCCTTAGTGACTCAGAAGAAGGAGCGTCAAAGGAACTGTGCAGTTTTTGCAGCATCTAGCATTGGAGTTTTGTTTAATTTGAATTCTGCTTCCTTTTTCTCGTGGTTGTCCAGGATGCACGGCGGACAGAGACAAACATGACGGACACACTGATATGAGTGATACACGCAATCCAAGTTTATTTTCCCCTAAAGGAACCTTTAAGCCAGGGAGAGCACAACAACGCATGCCTGATCCCCAGTAAACAGCTGGGACGTGTTTTTATAGACAAACCATCGCGCTCGAGGTGCGACTCAACAATGCAGCTGAGAGGAGGAAAGAGAACCACTGCATTCCTTCACCAGATCCTGCAGAGTGATCTGCAAATCCAAATCCAGCGTCTCCAAGCTCCAGGTGTCGGTTCCAGGTAAAGCTTCCAATGCATTCGTGCTCTAACTTAAGCCTTCAGAAGATGTTGAGGAAGATGATGACGATGAGGAGGATCCTCCACATGAAGGGAGATGTGATGTGCACAGTGCTGCTCCTGGTGCTGTTCTGTCTGCTGCTCTACATCCACCAGGTGAGGAGGAGCAATCACAGCTCGAGCTGGTATTAAGACATGCGTTTTTGTTGGTTCATGGTTGCTTTATGGCATTTCATCTAACCTCACCTATGTTTCCAGGTTGTGCTCTCCTCTGGATGGAACAAACCGATGTGGAAGCTGGAGATTTACGGTTCTACCAGCTCCAGCCGGACCCTGCTGAGAGCCAGCGGTTCTAAAGTGAGCCAGCAGTCCCAAGAGGTGAGGCTTCATTTAAGTCAGTAGTTAGAGCTCATATGCAGGTGTCATTGCCTGTACACTTCAGATCTTTGACAGCAAGGGCTCAGTGTGAGAGGAACAAATGTGGAGTTGCTTCCTTTGCAGTACCTCCTGCTAAAACCAAATCCAGTCTCTGAAGCAAATTTAACAACTGGAAGCTTAGGATGAGGGTCCAGAGTAAAAAGAAGCCTGAACTATATTAGCATCAGCAATAGTTGCTGGATTTCTGCACAATCGTGTGGGGGTCTGGTCATAAGAATCAAAGTGAGAAACAGTTCTATTGCCAAGTAGGTTTTCACATAATGTGATCTGGCGTGTTAGTGCTTCAGCGTAAACACTGACATGCAGATTAAACGAGTGTCCAAGTCAGTAGACAGACAAGAAGTCAAATCAGCAGCCACCCAAACTAACAGAAACACATCCAGTGTGCAAGAATGTGCAAGTTTGCATAGTATGTGATGAAATATGCTAAAGGACGCCAAGGATCCTGGTTCAAAGCTGTGAGTGTCACACGTAAGTCTATGAATTCAGAACTCATTATTGTTAATGAGTTATATGTTGTGAACTCAGAGACCAGTTTAAAGACCCTGATTACGAAGATTTAGGGTTTTTACCACATGAGCATGTCCATGCGTTCCATTTTTATCTGCCACAAGACGTATAATGAGTGAAATGAGCATCTCCATCCTGAAGCTGCACTGCACTGCACACACAAACTTCTGGGCTTTCATCGAGTTCGAACAGGGTCATAGGTGAGCTGGTGTGCTCGAGCTGCAGCGAGGAGTGGCTGAAGAAAGAGCTGCCGACTTCATCGAAACCCTTTTAGGACATAAAGAGATTTTTTTGATGAAAAACATCTAAATATGTAATTCTGAGACACAGAGAGGAGTTTTTAGGAGCTCTTTGCAGCTGAATGCTAACACTGCTTAGAGCTAAGTGCTGCATGCTAATATTCCCACCATGACACGCTAGCATTCAGATATTCAGCAGCTACATAAGTCTGCCATTTTCTAAACCGAAATGTAACACGATAACTTTGTAAAACTTGATAATCAGTGCCAAAGAGCTGAAGCTGATGTGTATTCTCTGATTAGTTTTGCAGTTGTTTGGTCTAAAATGTGAAAGTGCTGATCCAAGTAAAGTTCAGACTTGATGATGGATCTCGATGAGAAATAAAAAGCACACATTCTGCACTTCATTTGCTGTCTTCCAGTGTGTTTAGCCGGGTGTAAAGAGCCCGATGCTTCACCAGAGAGTCAGAATAAAATGTGCAGACGTTCTCACATGCAGTCGGCTGCTGGGATGAAATCCAGAGACGGGATCAAAGCGCTGTACACTTTGTTCTATATGAATATTCATCCTGCATATGTTGAGCGCATCAGTGTGTGAACACACAATATGCTTGAGTTTATATTCGTGTCAATTTCCGTCTGCACCGATTCACAGCGTTCAACACATTCCTGCTTTCATATTTATATTGAGTCATTTTTATTCAGACAGGTCTGATTTCTCTGTTTTTACTGACGCATAAGTAAACCCATGAGCTGAAATGAAAGACGCTCGTTTCGTGCATTTCAGTCTCTTGCTAGAGAATAAAGCGGCCGTTCTTTGAAATACAGTTTGTGTCATGAACTCACTGAGAGCAGAACAGGTGGACACAATGGTGCGACACAAAGGGTTCAGGCAGAAGACAGGTTTATTCACAGGCAGAGGTAGGTAACAGGTGGTCAATCCAAGCAGGCAGAGGTATCCAAAAACGACAAGCAAAAGACAAGGTTGGAAGCAGAAAACGAGGTCGTAACAAGACAAGACTGTGAGAACGCTGGGACGAGGACCGTGAAGTCCAACGAACTGGCAACGAGACTGTGAGACACACAGGCTGATATACACGAGGTAATGAGAGGAGATGGGAAACAGGTGAGGGAGACCATCAGGGAGCAGGTGTGACGGGATGGGGGCAGGAAGTAAATCTAGGACAGAGACAACTGGCTAGGGATTTCAAAATAAAACAGGAAAGATAAGACATAAAATGTGCACACATGAACAGGAACTTGACGGACATGACAGTTGAATTTATGATGCAGCCAATCTAACGTTATGTGACCTGACTTTGTGTGGACCAGAGAGCAGAATTAATAAGCTCTAAGTGTTAATAAGTGTGTCCAGTGGAGTCCGACAGGTATGTGACTTGCAAAGCAGTTTCCTTCTGTCAGTTCAGGAGGACCATCCCACCTTTTCACGCATGATTAACTGAGGAATTTATTAGCTGTGGTAGAGCACAGTGTGGACGGCACAAAGAGGCCGGAGGCTTTGAGGTGCAGAGAGAGGCCTGTATACACACAATCATAAGCAAAACCAGACATGACCGTAAACTGTTCAGTTTTTAGCTGTTTTGTTGTAAGTGTCCCACCCTGGCCTTCAGTTTGCTCCTTCAGATGAAAACGTTTCTGTCTGTGATGTTTGGGGAGCATGACTGAAACATTTGTTGAATCCTTGCTATGATGTTTTCTATTAAATGAAATATTCTCTGTCTTCTCATTTCTAAGTTCCCATCCAGCCACCCGCAGCCACAGCTGCCTCCCTGTCAGCCTCAACCCAAGTCTAAAGCTGCTCAGCCCAAATCCAGACCTCAGTCCAAGTCCAAGAGCAAATCCAAGCTTCGGAAGAAGAACGTGACGCCGACCAAGGCTCCGGGCAACCCGCTGCCGACGATGCCGCCATTTGACTTTGAGCGCTATCTGAGAGAAAAGGACAACAGAAACTTCAAGCTGCTCATAGACCAGCCGGAGAAATGTCACGTTGGAGGTGCAGAGGAGGAAGAAGGAGGCTCCAGGAAAGCTCCCTACATGCTCATCGCAGTCAAATCGGTGGCTGCAGACTTCGATAAGCGGCAGGTAACACAGTTTGTGTGGGTTTGCTCAGAATTAACGTTTCTTGTAGATTCCTGTAGATTGGACTTTCTGGATTGAAAAAACATGTTTTTAGTTTTTGAAACTGCTATAATGATCCCACAGCTCTACACAATCATTTATTATATTTACTCTCATTGTTTTGTCTTTACACATTTGTCCTGCTTTACTTCTCTCTCACAACTCTCTGAGTCCTTTCAAACCGCAGCAGGCGGCTGTTTCTTAGTGACAAAAGTTATAAAAACGTCGACTGTACACGACGCGTCCAGCACCGATAGCCAGCAGTTCAATGAACAGACTTGAACAGCAACCGAAGACGCTGATGTGGAGCTACACAAAGGTACAGGCCTCATTTAAGCCTGCAAATAAACAAAGAGATAAAACTAGCAATAAAAATATTAAAAAGGATTTATTTTATTTTGAAAATTAGATCAGTTAAGCTTTGAAAAGGTAACTCAAGCAATGCAGGAACGACAAAAAGTTTTAAATTTAAAGGATCAAAATGAGCCAAGCCTGTTATTCACAGAAGTAAAGTAAATCTGAATTGACCCAGACGAGTAAAACCAGCAGCAGCTGCAACAGAATCCAGTCATTTGATTAAAGCCAAAGACAGCAGCGATGTTAAGAACCAATGAATCCAGTGTTCAGCCGAATACTTATAAGTTCTGAGTTTTGTAACCATCAGCATGAATAAATCTTAGTGCAAAGAGATAAACAGAGTCACAGCTGAGGCATGAATTATAAACTATCGTCCAATGGATCCAATCTGTGCTGTGCTAAAAAGCACTCTGGTCTCATGATATTCAAACTGCTGTTCCTCCACGTCTCAGTGCTTTACTGTTGGTGAAGTCATCTCCCTGCACTCGATCCCTTCAGGTGGTCCGTCGGACATGGGGTAAGGAGGGCCACTTCCAGAACGGCGTGTCCATCCGTACGGTTTTCCTGCTGGGCGTTCCCAGGAATCGGTCCGCTCTGCCCCTGTGGGATCGACTCCTGGGCTACGAGAGCCAGACCTTTCGGGACATCCTGCTCTGGGACTTCGAGGACACCTTCTTCAACCTGACTCTAAAGGAAACTCACTTTCTGGAATGGGTCAACAGCAGCTGTCCTCATGTCAAGTCAGTGTTGATAAAACCGAATCACGACTTGGTGTAATTGTTGGGCTCCTCCCTGATGTTTCTAATCTTCTCTCATCCAGGTTCATCTTCAAAGGTGACGCTGACGTGTATGTTAACGTGGAAAACATCCTGGAGATGCTGCGGGGTCAGAAGCCAGATGAGGATCTGTTTGTCGGCGATATTATCATCCACGCTAAGCCCATTCGCCGGCGCACCTCCAAGTACTACGTGCCAGAGTTTGTATACGGAGGCGGTTTGTACCCGAACTACGCTGGAGGAGGAGGGTTCGTTATGTCCGGACACACAGCTCGGAGGCTCAGCTCCGCCTGCCAGCAGGTCCTTCACATTTTAAAAAAGGACGTTTGTGTGTATTTTGAACATTTGTTGATTTACAGTGATCTATTTTTTTAGGTGGAGGTTTTCCCAATCGATGACGTCTTCCTGGGAATGTGCCTCCAGCTGATCGGCGTCAAACCATCGCGCCATCAGGGCTTTCGGACCTTCGGCATCCCCCGACCCTCTGCGGCGCCTCACCTCCAGACGTTTGACCCCTGCTTCTACAGAGAGCTCATGGTGGTCCACAGCCTCAGCGTCCCTCAGATCTGGCTGATGTGGAACCTCCTGCACGACCCCAAACTGAGCTGCCACAACAGGACCGGCCCCACGGCCGGGCCCTTTAAATGGAGGGGGAGGATGGGTGGGATGGTGGGAGAGGAGGCGGACTACGGCGGGAAGCAGGTGTTTGTCACACATTAGTGGTTTTCTCCAGGGCCGAGCAGGATATTTATGAGACTTGGCAAGTCCAAAGTGGTCGTATTTCAGGGTCTGTGGCCAGTCTTCAAAAGCATGGTTGAGTCATACGTGACTTTATCTAAGCTGGCAGATCGTCTCGGGGAAATGAACTGGCAGAAATGTGCTTCAGATTATTCAGTAAGGAAGCCCGGACAGTTTATCCGTCTGCCATCGGGGCCACATCTGTGCAGCAGCATTTCTGATTTCAAATAAGGCTGAGAGATGAGTTTTTGAACGTGATCAACAGAATGTGTTGTGTTCCGGTTGTTTACAGAGAGATCAGCGAGGACGACGTCACAAAGCACAGTGATTCTGATTCTGACAGCGTGGCTAGCTGGTTTAGCCTCGTTCAACATGTGTGTTAGGAGACAATCGAGACGATTCGGGTTGTGAATGGCGAGCACAGATGTTCCTCTCTTCCTTGTTATGCTGGATAAAAGCACAAATGGACAGTCGCATTATCTGTTCCCTGGGGGAACAACAAATGAAGTCTAAACGGAAACCATCTGTGCAGTGGGAAGCGACTGGACCGGGTCGAACACACGCCACACATGCACAGACACTCAAACCTCGGCAGAATGTTGGACTTTCATGTGAACGGCTTGGTCGTGCTTTGATTTGATTTATTTGATGTAATTTCAAGTCTTTTTCTCGAAACCTCCTCATATCTTCACCCTCGTCTGTCATCACAGCCTCGGTCCTCGTTGAGCTGCTGCATTCACATGAAGCTCCATCCCGCCACATTCAGACTGATCCTGTTTGTTTCTGTTAGAATGACTGTTGAACAGCGTCATGTTCTCTGGACCAGAACTGCTGGAGCCGATGTCCGCTGTGTTGCTCAGTGACTGGATTGCCATTACATCTGATGCTGAGAGGGTTTACATTTGGATTATCTTGTGATTTTTTCCCCCATAAGCACCACACTGAGGACTCTGTGGTTAACACAATAATAACTGGAACCCTGATACTGAATTTTGTCAAATCATTAGGTCAAACTTTGGACTTTTTATGATTAAATACTTGCAAAACATGTGACATCCCATCATTCTTGGCTCTGCTTAGTGCTACGTAGCAAACATCAGCATGTCAGCGTTCAGAACAGGTTCGGGTTAAAATATTATCGCTCTCACAACATTTTAGTTCAATATTTCAAATGTAGACCCAAAATGGATTTTTCTTTTAAGGGGCTTTATTTTGTGAAATCTGTCTTTTTCATTGCTTTTGAACATTCGTTGTGTCTCCAGTGATGGATCAGATCAGGAAAGTTTGTCTCTAGATGAGCTGTTGAGGTTTTCAGCCTGTGTCACAAACACAGAGAGGAGGGAAGGGATGAACCCAGGCTGCTGCCAGAGGGCGCCATGGGACGCCTGCTCAACCAGGTGAGCTGTCAGGGCGTCTCCTTCTCATTTCTGATACAACCTTGATTCCTATCCTCGACTCCTCTCTGCGCGCCTCAGTCCCTCCAACCAGAGACGTGAGTGGAGGAGACAAGACGGAGACACGAGGAGTCGAGGCGTCCCTCGCCTCGGAGCTGGACTTTTAAAGCAGCGTCAGTTAAATCTGACGCGTGGACATCATCAGCCTCCAGCTGGATCTCCTGATCTCTGTCAGCGTTCAGGATAACTTATGGTTTCGACTGACTTTAGACTGACAGTTCACAATGTGGCATAATGCACAGGGTCAGGGTCAGGGTCCGGGTCAGGGTTAGGCTAACCCTGACCCGGACCCTGACACATGCTGTGGAGAATACGAGGGTACTCAAGAGAGATAATTATACGAATAAAGGACGACACGATAGAGTGATTTATGTTGGTATGAAGTCCTGCTCCTGACACGAGTCATTCCATCTGACATCAGCACAGTTTTAGAACCATTTCTGCTGCACCATGTCTCATTTGTCTGACTTTCGTTTTTACAACATATTTATGAAGGTATTTGTGAAACTTTAGATTGATACAGAGTACGTTCTGTGATATCTGTCGACCCACTTTCAGCGCTTTTTGCCCGTTGAAACTGAGGCTGTGTTTGGATGACAACATCTCAGGAACTAATAAAGATTTACATCACTGTTGTTGGGCTGCAGGTGGATCAGTGGTTAGCACCGTTAGCACCGTTAGCGCCTCACAGCTAGAAGGTCGCCGGTTGGCGTCCCGGTGAGGACACCCGGGATCTTCCTGCGTGGAGTCTCCATGTTCTCCCCGTGCAGCGTGGGTTCTCTCCGGGTTCTCCGGCTTCCTCCCACAGTCCAGAAACATGCTGAGGTTAATTGGTGATTGTAAATTGTCCGTAGGTGTGAATGTGAGTTTGCTTGGTTGTCTGTCTCTAAGTGTAGCCCTGTGATAGACTGGTTACCTGTCCAGGTGAACCTGCCTTCACCCTGAGTCAGCTGGATAGGCTCCACCCCCCATGACCCTAGTGAGGATTAAGGTGTAGAGGGTGGATGCTGAAAAGAGAGATAAACCTGTGCGCTCTCGTTCAGGCTCCTCTGGTAACCCTCCTCTCTCCTCAAGATGCATTTTAGAAATTGTGACATCCTTCCAGATGCCACGGTCAGATTGATCTCTAGGTCACGGGCAGGAGGACGGAGGAGACGAGGAGGCTTAAAGTAAAAATGAGATGAGCCTTCTGCCAACCGCTGAAGAGAGAAGATGCAGAGAGACGAGAGCGTGGGAAGCAGAATGGAGCGTTTCTTTTGCTCATCCATGAATTCCTATCAAAAAGTCTCACAAGAGGGTAGACGGCAAGATGTTCGACTGACACGTAACACGAAAAAGTGACCTTGGTTGAGGAAGAGCAATGTGTTGGTTAAAACACGAACTTTAGCAAACGGTGACAGCTGCAGTTGCAAGACTTCACACATGGGTTGAGGGTTTTTCTTGTCTTTAATGTTCTCCATGGAACACATGCAGAGGAAAGCTGGCCGGCGTGAGTCCGTTCTTATCTGGGACGCTTTCTTTAATAAAAATGAGGTCTTGTGATCTACAGGGCCGATAAAAAGTACTCCCTTGAAGCTTTCTTGTTCTGTTTCTTTTCAACACTGAATCATGCTCAATTCATTTTGGCTTCTTTAACTTTCTAACAAATTTCACGTCAAAATGAAAACTGATTTTTACAAAGTAATGTTAATTATTGACTGAAGTGTAAAACAGGTTACTGCGTAAGTGCTCATCTCCTTTAAAGTGACTCACCAAATCCATCACAGGTGCAGACAATTGGTGCTAGAAATCAAATAATTAGTGAAATAGAGGCCATCTGGTGCAGTAAATGTGCCTCGTATAAAACAATCTGCATCTGTCTCTGGTGAATCACTGGTCCTGGATAAAACCACACCATGAAGACAAAAGAAACACTCCAAGAAACTCCCTTAAAAGGTTGTTAAGAAGCACAAGTCCAAGAAAATGTCCAAGTTGTTAAATATCTATTGGAGTCCAGTTAAATCCATCAATGAGAAATGGAAGGAATATGGCACATACATAAACCCGCCAAGACGTCGTCCTCAAGAACTGAGTGACTGTCGAAGAAAGAGATTATTGAGGGAGGCCACCAAGACACTTGTGACTCCTCTGAAGGAGTTACAAGCTGCACACAGCTGTTGCCCAGGTTCCAGTCAAAGCTTTATGGGAGAGTCGCAAAGGAAAAAGAAAAGTGAAATTAATCGGGACTAGGGATCACCTGAAGGCTGTGGGAGTCAACAGAAGGTTCTTTGGTCTGATGAGACCAAAATTGAACTTTTCTTGGTCACCAGACACCAAACGCTGCACATCATCACAAACACAGCATCCCCACTGTGAAGCACGGCGGTGGCAGCATCATGATGAAGCACGGCGGTGGCAGCATCATGATG